GGGAAAATGAAGGAAAGCCAAAAGGGCGAACGCATGGGCAAAAAGAAAAAACTGGAGATTCATTCTCCGGCCTTTCCCAAGACGTTTTGGTCTCCTAGTAGTTTTGGGTGTGTTGGGCGGTCTAAGTGAATCTAGGAGGTTTGGGCCACGGAAAACCAACAAAATATGTGTTTTTGCTTTTCTGATTTGTGGGCGTTTGCGGGGTTTTGCGAGCGTGTGCAGGCTTTTGCCGGCGGTTTAGGCGACTTCCAAAAAACCTTCAGATTTAGGAAAAGCAAGTTGAAGACGCGATTACCAGCAAATTCATCTGCGTTTGGCAAACATACAGGGGGGGGCACTAAGTACCAATATGTCGCCCCTATGACAATGACTGATGTTGGTTTTAAAGTACCGCGCCACCCTGTGCTAACTACTCATGCCCTTGTAGTACCTCCCAAAACGTTGGAACGTTAGGGACGCCATTCACATACCTAACTGAAATTCCCATCCCCATGACTACTTCATCACTTTTGAAGGGGCGTTCCCTTAAGGCGGAAAGTGGCGAACCAGCCGTTTGCCAAACCACTGTCCCACTTCCGCGAGCTCGCCAACACAAGTCTGAACATGATCTTCCCAAGTGACTAAAGTCCGTCCAGGAAGTGAGCTGTACTTCTCCAGATGTCAACCTCTTTTGAAAACTGTCTGTTTATTTATGCGCGTGCGAGCCTGGGTTTAGTGGGGATTCAGACAACTTTTGGAGGGGAACACCCCATATGAATAAATAGTCCGGGGTCAACAAACGACTTGAGGATCCAGTTACAAAGCAGGAAACCAATCGACTCCACAGAACAAGCGGCCACGGGGGAAAGCCAGAAAACGGGAACCCATGATTCGCGACCCACACCTCCAGGGGTGCTTTTCGTTGGGTGCTGAGAGTGAAAGGAACCCCGTAATTAGGGGAGAACCCTAGGCCCCCCCCCCCCCCACCCTGGCAGGGTTGAAAGAGGGTTCCTAGGTCCTCCAGTAGAGAGGTTAGAATAAGGGTACCAACTTTTTTTCATGTAGCCTATTTTAGTAGGGGGGTTCCCTCCCGGTAAAAGGGCACTACTGGGGGACCTAGGTTCTTAGACGTGACGCATCACGAAAAAAGGCGTCACCTTTCTGAACAAGCCCAAGGGCGGACCCCTCAAAAGGGACCAGGTGTTTCTCTTGCTTTCCTTTACAATCCTCCGAAAGGATTTCGGGGGTTCTCATTCTACGGCAAGAGGTTTCTTTGAGACGGTTTCCGGTGAAATATGGAAGCCGCCCCCTTGCTTACATCCTGCCGTGCAAATGACCAAGTCCTTCTCACAAACTTCTCGCAAATCTGTAGCATTTGAGGCACGGTCAAAATTACGAATCTTCCCCCAAGACGGTGTGGATTTGATTGGCGTGTTTCATGCTTGGTTGGATGGCTGTTGTTTTTAAGTAGGTTCCATGTCCCTCCTATTGCACCATAGACTACCGGATATCTGGACCATCAACCTCAATTGGGTAAACTAAAGCAATAACGCCCCTCGTAAGGGACCTTCATTCTGTCGCAAGCCCCCCGGTGGGTGAAACTGCTAGAGTTCGACCAAATGCAATGACACCAACCAAAACAAAGGCTAGTCACATTCAACCTAAGTTGGGTTGTGCTTCTTCAACTCACCGCTGAACTGGTGCCAACACCTGCTGAATACCATTTAAGTCCGGAGCGAGCGTTAGGTAGCGGAAAGCCGCGACGAACATATGTAGCCAACGGATGCCCAACTTCAATGCAGCCAAACCGGCCGTTTTCCGCCCCATAAACCATTCAGTCCTGGTATCCCAAACAGCTTTCCGCCAGGCCCCAAAGTTTTCAGACCAAGAACACACACCGTACTCCTAAGAAAAGGATCTTTGACTAAACAATCAGCTTTCCGCCCAGCCCCAAAGTTTTCAGACCTTCAAGAACACACACACCCACGTACAAAGAAAAGGATCCAAGGCACTCACCGCACTTTCAAAGTTGCTGGGTCAACTCCGGGCTCCGGGCATAGGCGCGTTTCACCACTCCGAAGCTGCCCTTGCCCAAGGGCTTGCCCTGATCGCGCGCAAAGCGGAGAGGGTCCAAGAAATCCATGGCCGTGATAATCAAAAATCGGAAAACCCCATTTTGTTTGTTGCCCGTCGCTGGATGGAGAGGACGAAAACACCTGCGGTGCCCTGGTGGCTCTTCATTTTGACCCATACCCATCCTCAAAGGAAATGTAGGCAATGTCGGACCCCGCTTGATAACTGGGGTCGCTTTTGTACAACTCAGAATTCCGGGACTGTCTCGGGGGTTCGCTATTGTGCGTGCTTCACCCCAGAACAAGCGGGAACCTAACCACATGCAACACCCCAATTTGAATGTGACACCACATGCAAGCCTGTCCCGACCCAGACCGCAACCCAGAGCTCCCACACCCAATCCACCCATCCTCTCCAGTATGGACGCTCTGACTAGCACCTCCCTTGTACTCTCTGGGATGCAGCTCCTGAACAAAGGACCCCTTCAGAACGGGTTCCCTTTCTTTTGTGAAACAGGACCCATGGCTCGTGCTAGTTCTCCATATTCAAGGGATTGTGCACAGGGGATGCTCCCTCATTCTCTAGTGAAAGAAGATAGGAGAAGGGGGAGGAAGGGAGATGGGGTTGGTTCCTATCACCACTGGGGCAAAACAGGTGGTACACCAACCATGGTTGTTTATATTGAGGCCCATAAAGCAAACGCAAGGACCGAAGGCCTAAACGGATGCTTGACCAATATGCAACATATCTGCCAATTGTGTTTAGTGGACAACGTTCGGGTGTGTTGTGATAGGTTCATTTAAGTTTAGTAAGCAAAACCATAGCTTTGGCAATTCTTGCCCCATGTCACAATGTGCAGCCCTTTTCAGCTTGGTTGGAAGCGAAGCAAACAAACCACTCACAATTCGGCAACTTCCGTGTTTTTCCTCACTCCTTCGCTCTTCGCCATGCAGGCAGCTCTGGCGCAAAGGCGGGCTCAAAGCGAGCGGAGGTTCGCAAACTCCTACATCTTGCGGCTTGCGAGTCTCGTCGAATTCGGGCTACCGGAAAAAGAAACGATGCAGCAGTGCGCGGAGAGATGCTCAAGGCCAAACAGGCTGAGTACATGTGCTCTGCAAATCGCGGAGCCCCAAAAAGAAATGTCGCTTTCCTGAGACCTCCAACAGATGTTCATGGGAGAAAAGCAAGTTGGGTCAAGGAAACACCACAGACGCACACGTTGGCACAAACCCTTCTCTGAGAAATCTTTGGCTTTCTCAAGAATACAACCCCCATCCAAATTGATCATCAGCTGCCCCCTTTTTGAGTGGTCTGCTCCAAATCAGGGTAAAGACACTGGTTGCTTCCAACAATGGAACCTGAGAAACCCACCTATTTCACTTCAGCAGCAGACCCACCCAATCAGAACGGGCAAATATTCTCAGCTGTGCCCAAAGCTCTAGTGGATTTCCGTGGGGGCACAAGGGCTTGCACTTTTTCGAGTAACCCCTATCAATCTGGTTTTCCCAGACCCCAAATCTCCAAGTACTGTACACAATGTGAGAGTTTATTTTGAAGCAAAGCCCCGTTCCCCCCCATCACTGCAGGTTCGGGTGCTCATGGCAAGTGAACTGTCCTTGGTGCTGACCAAAAAACAAAACCGAATTTGACTAGCTCCCCTTCAGGCTATACTACGTGCTATTCCCATTCCATAGTCGCCAAGGGAACCAAAAGCACCGCCGTGAAGTGCCTTAAAAAGGAGACCTCTCAGTCGCCTCTCCCCGTACCTTTGGAAAAACCGTTTGTCAGCTTTGAGCACGTAAGCCTAAGGCTTCAGCAAATCGTGTCTGGGTCGCCAAGCGAAAGATCTCAACATGACTGGTCATTTGGCCTGCTATAGAGCTCCGGGGCCTTCGATGGGCCGGCGAGGCTTAGGACAACTCATCCCATTTTGGCGACTCGACTCTCCGACTCGACTCGACTCTCCGACTCTCCGGGCACTGGTGGCCAGCCGCACACTTTGTTACCGGCCGCCACAGTGGGGATATTCCAAGCTCGGTTCTTTAACCCAGAGGGCTTCGGCTTCCAGTGGAGCCACTCCATTGGACACCCCGGGGTTTTGGGGTCTCAACACCTGGGTTGAAGACCTGAAAGCCATCGAATGGGAGCTGGGAAGGGAGAATCCCAACCAATGAATCGGTGCAGTTGCCGCGAACTGTCGCCCTATCAAAAGTATCAACTGGAAAACCTTGATTCTGCGAGCGAATCCTAACTCCAAGCTGTTTATGTTTCTCCGAGCGTGGGAAGACAGCAATAGAAGAGGCTTTACCTTTTGGACCGCCAGTTTTTCAATGGTGTCAACCGGCAAGCCGCAAGCCCCAGCCAGGGGACCGGTCCATGTTACTTCGATGAACCAAGCCGGTGGTGCTCTTTATTTCTTCACGGCTAGTTGCTTGGGCCCAGTTGCCCAGTGGTGCCGTTTGATTACTTTTTTGGGGGGAAGTCGGAAGGGGCCCCCTTTAAAGTCAACCAACCAAAAGCCGTTTTGCTTCTCATGTTTCTTTGTTTTTGGGGGGGGAGGGGAAAGTCAGCCAACCAAAAATCATTGATGCCCCTGCTTTGCTCTTTTTCCCCATGGCCCAGAGGGTATTTGAGTGGATCGTCGGATCTTTTTTTTTTTGGAATCCGGTGGATTGTTCGTTGGTTTTGTTTTACAACACGTCCTCTTCTAATAGAATGCATTTTTAACAAGCTTTCAAAATACAATATCGTTATTATATACAAATTGCTTTATTTATTGTATTATATAAATAGACTATAATTGGAC